ATTTGTAGGGCAGAAGTGTGTCATGGGGCGAGGCGCGTCACCACACCTCTGTAACGTCCAGCATGACGAGCACAGACCTGTTCTGGAACTTATGAATGCATGATCTCAGAAATCTGATCCAAACCTTTCCTGCCTCATCAGACGTTATGACTCATAATGAAGAAGATTTTCGCTTTAAATCAGCTCATTAAGAGCAAATGAAGAATACAGAGAGTCTGCTGAACTGAAAATGAAAGCGTATGAAGGTTGAGATCATATCAGAGTCCTGAGAGAAGCGCACAGACACACCTCACAGGATCAGCAAGCAGAACTACAGGACAAACGAGACAGCAGCTCAGCTCAGTTTCACAAAGCAAACTGGGTCACACATAGATGTTGGTTTCAAAACATGTTTAAAAAAAAATTGCAATTTGCTTAGGTTAAATGAACTCACTTTGCCTATTTACACTAAGCCACTTCATGTATTTTCTCTGATTGGATAGTTATTTGATCATGAAAACATGCGGTGAAAATACCCTTCAAAACGCTGGACTACAGAGATGGACTACAATTCAATTGAGGTTTATTTTTTTAGATGCAAAAAAGTTTTTGGATTTTGAAGCCACAAAAATCACGCTCCTCCCAGAACTGTAAACAATAAAGGTGAGAGAGCATGTTTTAGCGGCTTACAGTAGCCAGATATCAGAGTGCTACTGCAACATACAACTCTATGCAACTCTCCATGCAACTCCATGCATCTTCACGCTAGAGCCCGACTGATATGGGTTTTTGGGGGCCGATACTGATATTTGGGAGTAAAAAAAAAGTCAGATATCGGTATATCGGCCGATATTCTTTATATGAATATTATATTTTTGGCAGGGTTCCCCTGGTGTAACTCTTTTCAGATGCAAAGAAACAAGTGTAAATGTATCTGATTTTGAAACCACATAAATCACACTTCCAGATAACCAGATATCAGAGCGTTACTGCAACACACAACTCTACACAACTGTCCACGCATCTAATGGCAAGCTCACACTACATGATCTTTGGCTGGATTTTGCTGTTCCAGACAGAGTTCCAGAGTCTGCGACAAAACCCCTGGATCGCGATTAAATCGGTGCTCGTTGTGGTCGCCGAAGCTCGTTAAGCATGAGCAGGGTCAGCAACGTGATCCGAACCTGTCTCGAGCCATTACAGATGTTACGACATTTCAAACCTGTTTGATACTATCGCAACGTGATCTCTTAATGTGAGCGACACAATGACAAGGTGGAACTAATCCAGCCAATCACAGTGCAGATGGTATAAACAGTCTTATCATGCAGAAACGAAAAGCCACAAATTAATCAAATCAACTAACTAGAAATAAATTTAACAAATGCATAAATTGTGTATATAATACTGCATTTAATACTGTTTAATTACCTCCAACTCTTTCTGCAGTATAGTCAGCCCTCGTTGTCCACGTCTTCCAAGCCATTGTTTCTGCCATATTCTCTTTTTTTCTGGTTTCTTCTTTCTTTCGGATAAAATAACTGCACAGACCAATTGAAGGACGAGTTGATAGTCCATGCTTGAAGAAATGGTCTATAATCACTGTAATTTCCCGCGAGAATTAATGTGAGAAAACATATTTTCGCTGATGGTCGGGATTGCCTCTTCACCGAATGTTTTGTAGTGTGTGCACCTCGTCAGTGTTGTGTTGTGTAGTGCGTGCAGCTATGACAAGACCAGTCTTCTATTCATGTAGTGTGAGCTTGCCATAAATGCAACTGCGCACAACTCCACACAATTCAACACAACTATTTACATATCCACAAAACTCCACAGATCTCCACACATCTCAAAACTCCTCACAACTCTGAATTTCCACACAACTCCACGCATCGCCATACAACTCTTCACAACTCCCCTCAACTCTATACATCTTCACGCATCTCCACACAACTCCTCGCAACTTCACACATCTCCATGCAACTCTTTACAACTCCACAAATCTCCACACAAGTTTTAAAACTCCTCACAACTCTGTATTTCCACACAACTCCACGCATCTCCATACAACTCTTCACAACTCCCCGCAACTCTATACATCTTCACGCATCTCCACACAACTCCTCGCAATGCCACACATTTTCACACATTTCCATGCAACTCCACATATCTCCATACAACTCTTTACAACTCCACACATCTCCATGCAACTCCACATATCTTCGTACAACTCTTCACAACTCCATGAATCTCCACACATCTCCACACAAATTTTAAAACTCCTCACAACTCTGCATTTCCACTCATTTCCACACAACTTCAAGCATCTCCATACAACTCCCCGCAACTTTATACATCTTCACGCATCTCCACACAACTCCTCGCAACTCCACGCAACTCTTTACAACTCCACACATCTCCACGCAACTCATTACAACTCCACGCAACTCCACATATCTTCATACAACTCTTCACAACTCCACGCATCTCCACACAAATTTTAAAACTGCTCAGAACTCTGCATTTCCACACAACTCCACGCATCTCCATACAACTCTTCACACATTTCCTTGGAACTCCACATATCTCCATACAACTCTTCGCATCTCCACACATTGTCAATGAACCAAATGACCTGAGAGAGTGAGATGTGTGTGGCGTTTTGGGAGAGTGAGATGTGTGTGTTGTTCAGTACCTTGCTCAGGCTGAGGTTGTCGCTGCGCAGTCTCTGCTTGTTCTTCTGCATCTTGCTGGGCATCATTTTGCCCGTGCGAAAGTCGAAACATCCCAGATCCACCGAGTTCCCGAGATAGCGGGATAGCTGCGGTTTACTGCGGAACTTCTTTCCTGTGGGACTGGAGCAAAAAACATCAACATCAACACACTGGATGACTCAACCTAGTTTATTCTAAAAAAAAAACTCTTCTGACTTCAGACTGAACATGTTCATAGTGGTGAGTTCTGCCTGGGCAGAAAGAAGTCTCTTCTGCTCACTAAGGCTGTATTTATTTGATTAAAAATACAGTCAAAATTGGGAAATATTTGTACAATTTCAAACAGCTGTTTTCTATGTGAATATCTGTTAAACTGTAATTTATTTCTGTGATGTGCAGCTGTATTTTCAGCATCATTCCTCCAGTCTTCAGTGTCACATGATCTTCAGAAATCATTCTAATATGCTGATTTGCTGCTCAAGAAACATTTCTGATTATCATCAATGTTGAACACAGTTGTGCTGCACAATATTTCTGTGGAAACTGTGATGCATTTTATTTTTCAGGATTCACAGATGAACAGAAAGTTCAAAAGAACAGCATTTATTATTTTAACATTTTCACTTTTGATCAATTTAATGCATCCTTGATGAATAAAATCTTTTTTTTTAATTCCTATCGACTGTAAACTTTTGGTAGTGATACTTTTAAAAGGTGTATGTTTTGGTTGTTGTGACACCTGCGCAGACGCACACGACTGCGGTCACAGCTGCTGAAGAACAGAAATTAAAACATACAGATCCACTTTTCACATGAAATCAAAACTGGCTGTAGGCTATATCATCTTAATGAATGTCCCTGATCTTCCTGATTCTTGTTTGCATTATTGCAAACATAAACAAAACAGGCGCCAGCTGACGTCATCAACCCAATCAGTTCATGATATCAGAAAGTTAAGTCCCATCCTGCAGTTTCTCTCAGAACCCGGTCATATTATTGAGGTGGAGTGTGTTGTGAATGTGGTTTCTTGTTGATTTGAATGTTTTCCAGCCTGAGACTAAAGCGCTAATCTGCTCAGATAAAGCTCTGGTCCGCAGGAGTGCTGACCCTTGGACTGAGCGCTGCAAACCAGACTTCAGCAGGACTAGTTAACCCGCAGTGACCGCTGTACGGTTGACACGTCCACACCAACTTACTCGCCCATTACGTAACGCCACATCAGCAGCAAAGGATATTTTCATGGCAAACACATAGGAGAAATTTAAATAATCATAATTCAAGTTTCAATTTATTTATCTTTTTTAATATATAGCACTTCTTACAATACATATTGTTACAAAGCAGCTTCACAGAAAAATGCATGTTTCAATCAGTGTTTTCTTAGTGTGATTAAGATACTAATATAGTTTGATTTTAAATATTTAGAATTTGTTTTAATTTGTGTATTTTCTGCATTTTCTGTTGTGTGTTTTCTGCTTTTTTAATGTGATTATATATTTTTATTCATTTTTATTTTAGTTTTGGTTATTTAAGTAAATCTTAAGTTAAACTACATTTAAATGAGAAATGTTGTTTTGGAAACTAGCTGCAATAAAATAATAATTAATCCTTTTAAATACTTTTTCAAATAAAACAATATTTTCCTACAAACACATAAATATTTTCCTATAACATAAAAATATTAATTATATGAATTCTTTTAGTTTAATATTCCCACACTGTAAAAAAAAAAAAAGTTTGTTTGTTCTTTAAGTTGTAAAATATTGTTTTAAAACATTAAATAAAAACATTTAAAAAACCATTCTGTAGTACATTATACAAGAAAATACTATTTCAGCCTGTCTACTATAAAATTTCAAGTGTAACTTAATGTGTTACTTGCTGTTTCGTTTGAGAGAAAACTGTTTAAAGGGCATTTTTTAGAGCAAGTCTTTTAAAAACGTCCACTGATGAAATTTCTGAATAAAAGCAGTTTGAGGAAAACTGAAGTAATAGATGTCAAATGTTTTATTTAACTGAATCACTGCAACACTTTCATCTCCAGCGTTCTTCTTCAGGTTTCGTCTGTAACGTCTGCAAAACACAAGCGTGTTTTGGCCGAGTCGGCACACTTCTGCCTCCAGACTCACAATCCAAACCCTGCCGTGTGGAAACCTGCCAAAATTCACCTTACGACCTTTGAACTTCATGTAAATAAACCTGTATTCTGCAGCTCGGCTTTGGATCATCAGTTTGAATCTGTCGACGCGGCACACACACACACACTCACAAACACACTCTGTCTCTCTCTCACACACACACACACTCACTCTCTCACTCACTCACTCTCACTCACACACTCTCACACTCTCACACACTCTCACACTCACTCACACTCTCACACTCTCACACTCTCACACTCACTCTCTCACTCTCTCACTCTCTCACTCTCACACTCTCACTCTCTCACTCTCTCACACACTCACTCTCGCACTCACTCACTCTCTCACACTCACTCACTCACTCTCTCACACTCTCACTCTCTCACACTCACTCTCTCACTCTCTCACACTCTCACACTCTCACTCTCTCACTCTCTCACTCTCTCACTCTCTCACTCTCTCACTCTCTCACTCTCTCACTCTCTCACTCTCTCACTCTCTCACTCTCTCACTCTCTCACTCTCTCACTCTCTCACTCTCTCACTCTCTCACTCTCTCACTCTCTCACTCTCTCACTCTCTCACTCTCTCACTCTCTCACTCTCTCACTCTCTCACTCTCTCACTCTCTCACTCTCTCACTCTCTCACTCTCTCACTCTCTCACTCTCTCACTCTCTCACTCTCTCACTCTCTCACTCTCTCACTCTCTCACTCTCTCACTCTCTCACTCTCTCACTCTCTCACTCTCTCACTCTCTCACTCTCTCACTCTCTCACTCTCTCACTCTCTCACTCTCTCACTCTCTCACTCTCTCACTCTCTCACACACTCACACACTCACACACTCACACTCTCTCACTCTCTCACTCTCTCACACTCACTCACTCTCTCACACACTCACACACTCTCACACTCTCACACTAGCACTCTCACTCACACTCTCACACTCTCACACTCTCTCACTCTCTCACTCTCTCACACTCACTCACTCACTCACTCACTCTCTCACACACTCACTCTCACTCTCTCACTCTCTCACTCACTCTCACACTCTCTCACACTCTCACACACTCTCACACACTCTCA